CACGCCCACCATAGACCCAGTTGGGGGCAATATGCTGACTCTGTAAACCGCTTAGAGAGGCCTGAAAGCCCTATGAAGCGGTATATAAGTCTAACTGCTATTGCTATTGCTAAACGGGTTCAAATCACCAGGAGCAGATGGATTATCTCCAAGGGTAGTGAAGGCGCTGGCAGACATGATCTTAGAACCACGGAATTGTGAGGGATCCTTGGTGCATTCTCTACTTGGCTGTTTTCTTGCATTAACCAAGCTAGGTAATTCCTTCAATGCTACTCGTAGTCTACTGGCATCAATGATGTTATCTAGTTGGCTAATAAAATATCTTCAAGAAAACGGCCAAGTTTAGAAGACACCAAGGACCCCAATTTCAACCCTGAGCTACAAATACAGTTAGTCCTCGATTTACGACCCCAATCGAGCTCAAAATTTCTGTTGGTAAGCGAATCATTTAACTGAATTATGTCCTGTTTTAGTATCCTTCTCTTGCCACAGTTGTGAAGCGAATTACTGCAACTGTTAAAATTAATAACGGAACCCCATTAACAAGGAGGGACCTTGTCTTTCAAATGCAGATGGACAGCTGAATCTTGCCCTGATGAGTTTGTTCTCCTACGTTGTGCCATGCGTTGCTGAAGTAGTTGTTTTGTTTCTCCAAAATTCAGATCTGCATATCTCTCACTACGTTGTATTGCATATATCTTATTGCTCAGTTTGTGTCTGGGTGTTTTATCCTTAGGGAGGACAGGTTTCTGCCCTAATGTGCTCTTGGGTTTAAAGTGTGTGCCTGTACGTTGTGTTGTTTGAAAATCCTCCTGAAGTTTTCAGATAATTCCGGCAACGTATGGAATGACAACGTTGCTTCGTTTGTTATTCTCTTCTTTGTCTGTTATGGATCTTTTTCTCATTTGATGAAGGTCCAATTGGGATAGCCACAAGTTCTGAGGGCTTCCTTGACATGCTTAGATCTTTCTTCTTTTTCCTCTGTGCTGGTAGGCAAACCTTCAGCCTGGTGGCGTGGGGTTCCGATCACTCCCATTTTGTGTTCCAGTGGGTAGTGAGAATCAAAACGTAAATTCTGATCTCTTTCTGTGGGTTTTCTGTAAACTAAAGTGTTGAAGCTTCTGTATTCCTTAATGTAACTTATATGTTTAGACTTATATACTTAGTGCTTTACAGCCCTCTCTAAGCAGTTTTACAGAGTCAGCATCTTGTCCCCAACAATCTGGGTCCTCATTTTACCTACCTCAGTAGGAAGGAAGGCTGAGTCAACATTCAGCCTGGTGAGATTTGATACTGCCAAATTGCAAGGCAGCTGGCAGTCAGCAAAAGTAGTCTGCAGTACTGCACTCTAACCACTGTGCCACCACGGCTCTTGTTCCTCTTATAATGAAAATAGCAATATGTTTTAGACTTACATACCGCTTTTCAGTGCTTTTCAGCCCCCTCTAAGCGGTTTTACAGAGTCAGCCTCTTGCCCCCAACAATCTGGGTCCTCATTTCACCAATCTCAGAAGGATGGAAGGCTGAGTCAAGCTAATTTCCCGCTCAGGATCAAACTCCTGGCAGTGGGAAGAATTTACCTGCAATACTGCACTCTAACCACTGCGCCACCATGGCTCTTGTTCCTCTTATAATGAAGATAGCAATAGGTCTTAGATTTATACACTGCTTTTCAGTGCTTTTTAGCCCTCTCTAAGCAGTTTTATAGAATCAATCTATTGCCCCCAACAATCTGGGTCCTCATTTCACCCACCTCGGAAGGATGGAAGGCTGACTCAATTTTGAGCCTGGTGAGATTTGAACTGCCAAATTCTGATCTCTTTGTGTGAGTTTTCTGTAAATTAAAGTGTCAAGACTTCTGTCTTCCTTAATGTGCACTGCACAGTCCAGGAAATACTGTTTTCCTTCACATCTTCACGTGTGAACTCAATGTACCTGTCCACAGAGTTGATGTGTTTGATGAAGGCTTCCAAGAGTTTAGCTGCGAGAAGAGGTCTGTGCTGTATGTAGATCTCAAGTCAACTTTCAACTTAATATATAAGATCCTTTGGGAGACGTTAATTAACATAAAAAATAGGTGCCTACTGTTCTTAGTTCAATACATCTATAACACTTCACTTAGAATTGTTTTATTTATTTATATTCTGCCTTTATTAGTGTTAGAAATAATTCATGGCATCAAATATAATTTCATGCTCCTTCCTCCTCCTATTTTCCTCTCAACAACAACCCGGTGAGGTAAGGTGAGCTGAAAGTGAGTGGCAGGCCCAAAGACACCCAACCAGAAAGGCAGATTCTAAATTAGATAGATGGATGGAGGGGAATGCATGGGATGGGATGGGAGGGAGGGAGGGAGAGAGAGAGAGAGAGAAAGAGAGAGAGAGAAAGAAAGAATGAATTAGGAGGCCAGGGGACTTTGTCCAGAAACATTTTCTCATCCGTAAATAAGGAAGTCAAAGCTTCCAACCCATAATTTATTTGTATGCTACCGCAGAGTCTCTCTGTGAAAGAGATAGGTGGTTTCTAAATTAGATAGACAGATAGGTAGGAGTCAGGTAGGTAGGTAGGTAGGTAGGTAGGTAGGTAGGTAGGTAGGTAGAAAGATAGATAGATA